TACAGTTTTTAATAGCCAGGTCTCAGGAGTGTCATTACTCACTTTTGCCACATTCTATTCACCAAAAGTAGTCAAAGGAAGATTACAGAGGGGCAGAGGTCCCTGGAGTCCACTCTACAGGCAGTCTACCACACGTGATGATCTGCAAGGCCATGTGTTCTAAATCCTGCGACTGCAAGGCAGAAGTAGCCAGGATTCCTAACTCTACTAGTTAGAAAGGACTGTGACATGAGCAAGAAATAAACCCCTACTACACTAAGCTCCTGAAGTGTCATAATTCATTGTTTCCAGTAACACTAGTGACATTAGACTGACTGGTGTCCTGGTGCTCACTTCCTGCCTCCCTTTATTCTTTCCACAAGGTGTTTTTCTTAAAAATTAAGTTTCCATTTTGATCACTGTCATGATCATTGTCAAGTTGTATTGCATAATGTTTAAGTGCTAAGAGCTAACGAGAAGATGCTAACATCCCTCCTTGAAAGGCACATTTTGGAAACTTAATCCCTAATTCAAGGACATTTGGAGATAAAGTCTAATGGGAGACGTTGAGGGTGTGAAGGCCTTTTGTGCCACCTGTGTGTGTGGGTTAATGCCAGTTAGGAAAGCAGTGGGGGCTGGCAGTGTGACCTTTCCTTACACACGTGTGTATTCAGTGCTCCCTTTTGGAAAGGCACCTGAAAAAGCTTTTGTCAGATATGAGTCCTCCAACTTGGGATTTCTCAGTCTACAGAGCTGTGAGAAATATCTCTCTCTTCTGTTTAAATGATCCTCTCTTAGCACACAAAGGACTAAGAGAGGAATAACATTTCTTCTATTAGAGTGGAAATCACTCATGAGATGGACTGATTTATGTATTTATATGTATTTATTCATTGCAAATATTAACAATATTCTGGGTGTGTTAACTCACATTTTTAATCCCAGCACGGAGAAGTTTGAGGTGAAGAATTGTGAGTTTGAGGCCAGTCTGAGTTATGTAGTGAGACTGTGTCTCAAAATAAACAAACAAAATTAACAATAGATGAGGTTTTATATTTTCTACATTCATCTTTATATGCTTTGTACATTTTGCTCTAACAAATGGGAAAGTTACCTTTATTGAATAAAGAATTTAGAATCCAAGAAAATACCTGTTATTTTTGTCCTTATGCTTACTTTATTTTTTATATAATTATTTCTTAATCCTCTTTGAAGCCTTTGTTTAGATGACATTTTTTTCAAGGGAACCAACTGACCTAAGTACCATTCAAGTGTCTCCGGGAGACCCTATACTCTTCCCTATTGCATACCTCATTTCACACTGTAGCAGCTGTTTTGTTTGTGAGCATGATTTGTTCTCTAGAGTCTAAGCCAGTGACTTAAAAGCATTCCTAATCTCCTAGCACTTAGTACATAGTTCACATTAGGGACACAATCATTTATTAACAGGAGAACAGTGAACAATAGAGATACATAAATAGCAAAGGCGCTAGAACTTTTCAGGAAAGACACATCTGAAATATGAGGATACAGAAACATCTCAAATCTGGCTGGATGATGACTTACCTATCCAGGCTACTCAGTATAATTTTTATGATTGTTCGAGTTAAGTGGAGGTTGATGTGTCTGTCATAAAGCAATAGAAGAGGCAGGCAGAGTCACAATGAGACAAGAGAGACAGATAGTAGCTAGAAAGTAGCAATAATTTCAAGGATGAAAATCGGAGCAATAAAACATGGACCACAGTGCTCTAGAAGATAATAGGTATGAATGTAGAGACCACAGTGTGTGATGAAAACAATGTCTCATGAAAAATCTTCACTAACATATTCTGGAGCCAGCTGTGCACACAACTTTGTAAATATAAATATGAATGTCATTGAATTATACACTTATAGAGATGAATTTTATGACTTGTGAGTAGATATCAAAACAAAATACAAGAGACATTGGAACAGAAAGTAGTCAGTCGGTGGTAAATAAACAATCCAAGTTTTTAATGTTACTGTAAGACATTCTATAATTTTTGTATTATAAAAATGAAAACATCTGAGTTAATATGACAGACAGTTTTCTCATAACTAATATAATGTTTTAGCAAATCATAACAGGCTTATATAAGGCATTTTCTGGCTTGGACTTTTAAATTAAACTTGGTTTTCAAAAATGGGTGCTTGCAGAAAATGTGCACATAATACTGCATTACAATTGGTTCTTATTCATAGATAGATGATGCATGGGCTGCCTTCATTCTAAACTTGGTATCTTGTTCTGCCTTTCAACCAGTGAGAATTGCTTTTGTGAAAAGAAAAATATTTTGTAGTATTTCCCTCCACTTTCTCTTCTCCCTTTTGGACTATTGCTTTTAAAAATTGGTCTTTTGCTACATAATGTTGAGCACAATCCTTTCTGCTATCAAAGTCTTATGAAACCTTCAGTCACTGCCAAAGCTGAGAGAGTTTGACTGTCTATGAAGCATTCCTAATGTAACTTAGAAAAATTTGGTTATCCCTGCTCTGAGGGAAACATCTATAGAACCTGTAGCTGTAAGTAAGAATTCTAAGAAAAATATCTTGTGAAAAAAATTCATTTTTAATAATAAAGCACTGAATTTAAAATATGCTTCACAAGGAAGTTTTCCAAACTCACCAGATATTCGCATTACAAAGGTACACCAATACTCTTCAAGCTCTTTAATTGCTCTGGTTCCAAAACCAGACAAGTATCCTGCCAAAAAAGATAACTACAGACCAATCTCTTTTAATAAATGTTGATGCAATAATCCTCAACAAGATATTGACAGACATCAGTGAATTGTCAAAAACCATATTTCATGACCAGATAGGCTTCCTCCAGGGAAACAAGGATTGTTCAACATATCCAAGTCAGAGAATGCAATATATCACTAAAGAGAAGCAGACACGAGCACATAGTCATCTCAATAGAAACAGAGAAGATGTTTGAAAAAGCCAACATCTTTCATACTAAAAACACTAAAGACAGTAAGTATAAAAAGACCTTATCTTAATCTGATAGAAGCTGTTTATGAGAAAACTACTGCTGACGTCATATTAAATGGAGAAAACTTGAAAGTTTTCCCTGTAAAAAGACAGGCTATCCACTATCACCACTCCCATTCAACAAAGTGTTCAAAAATGAGCAAGAGCAATTGGAAAAGAAAAACAAATAAAGGAGATAATTATAGGAAAGGAAAAAGTCTATTCTTTTCAGATGACATGATCCTATATAGAAGATGCTCAAAAAATCCATCAAAAGAATCTTAGAAATAATAACCAAATTCAGTAATATTCAAAATTTAGAATTAACCTACAAAAATCAATGGAAATCCTGTACACTCATGGTGCACTCACTGAGAAAAAAATTAGTAAAAACACCATTTGCAATAGCACCAAGAAACATTAAATAATTAGGAATTAACCTAAGAAATTGAAAGAGCTCTATAATGAAAACTACAAAAAAGACATCAGACAATAGAAAGATATCTTGTCTTTCTGGGTAGGCAGGACCCTATGGTCAAAATGATCTTACTTCCAAAGTTGATACACAGATTAAATGCAGTCCAAGTGAAAATAACTGCAACATTCTTCACAGAATTGAGAAAAACAATCCCAAAATTAATATGAAACCAGAAGAGACCCAGAATAGCAAGAACAAAGCAGAAAGTATCACAATCCTGAATTTGAAGTTATATTACAAACCTTCAGTGATAAAAAGAGCGTGGTTCTGACACAAAAACAGACATGAGAGTAAATGGAACGGAATGGAGGATACAGAATAACCCCAGGCACATTCAGCTATTTGATCTTTGACAAAGTGGCTAAAAACATACACTGGTGGAAAGACTGCCTCTTTAATAAATGCTTTTGGGGGAAACTACTGTGTCCTCTTTAATAAATGCTCTTGGGAAAAACTATCTCATCCAAAAAACTCAAAGATGCTCTCACAAACAAAGATGGAAAATAAAAACAATAATGGCGACAAAGGGAAACATATCGATATGTTCCATGAGTTCAGTACTATCAAAAAGCAGAAAATCACTGAGTGCTAGTGAAACTACTTACTGGATTACTAGTCAACAAAAGGGAAAAAATCGACCATTTTTCCTGACTTTCCCAAGTAAACTGTTTCACTGGGTAAACAAAGAGCAGAGGAGGCCTCTTTGTAGAAGTATTCCAGCTAATGAAGAAGAATTAGACTACTGTCATTTTGGAAACCCAGACTAATTAGTGTATCTAGTCATTAATCACCTGTAGCTGCTCACATCATAAAGCAACATCTCCACCTTTTGAAGTAAGAGTTCAACACTGCCTGTGATGTACTTTTGCCTAAAAAATAAAAATTAAACCTCAATTTGATTAAGCCTCTATATGCAACTACCAATTTACAGGATATACAGATAGAGACATGCTAAATGATGGCAGAGATGTGCATGCAGTCATAAAAGCCTACAATGTGGGAAGCTACCCGACAAAGCAATTGATAAGTTAGTTACAATAAGACAAAAAAGAAATAAAGGACTTATCCATTAAAACGTGTAAGATAATCACTCAGTAATACATAGATCTTATATTAATTAAAATTAATCAAAATTATATTTTTTAAGCAAATGGAAATTGCAATAGTGGCTTTATATTTGTTGACATAAAACCCCTTTTAAGTTTTTGCTGTGTGTATCAGGCTATTGTGATTATAGTATATGTGTGTGCACGTAACAGAGGACTTGTGTTTTAGAGAACTGTCAAGAGATGATGGTATTTGTGTTTTGCTTTAAATAATATAAGGAGGAAATTAAAAGGTGATATAGACATGAAAAAGATAGGTCATACATTAAAGGAATTGTTAAATCTGAGTGGTGGTATATGAGCTAATATTTTTTCTATCTTTATATTTAAAATTTTCCATGAGTTAAAAAAACTACATAAAATATAGTAAAATAGATGTTAAGAAAAAATGAAACATGAAAAAGAAATTCATAACTATTAGAGTATTTGAGTGCTTTGACAAAATTTGCATTATGCAAATTAATACTGAAGGTAGCTAAAGCCTCTGAAATGAATTCTAGCCTTGCATCCCCCTCTGATATCCTCATGAACCAGAGCAAACTGCCAAGTGCTACACACTATGCAAGCTCTGGGGAGCTTTCTAATGTAACGAAATGACCTGTACTTGAATGAGTTGTCTAACTTTATTGCAATCCTATAAAACCTGGGGGGAAACTAAGAAAAATTGAGTTAGCATCCAGTAAACGGCACACTTTATAAAGCAGAAATTATAACAAATTTATTCATTGCTATGTTTCCAGGTCTGTTTTAATATTTAATTGTGCAAATTTATGGGGTACAATGTTATAATCTGATATAAGTGTACAGTGAGTAATGATCAAATCATGGTAATTAACATTTTCGTCTCCTTAAACATCAAAAAAGTTTGATGAATGCATAATGATTGTAGTTATTCATGTGATACAGTGTAAAGTTTCATTACATGAATATAGTATATACAGATAAAATCTGGGTAATTAATGTTTCATCTCCCTATCATTGCTTAGTGTTTGGTGCCCTCAACTTCTTTTAGTTATTCATAAAATGTATTATATTCCCAAATCTTATGACAATGCTTGGTACATAAGAAATACCCTAAAATTTGTTAACAGATTCAAAGGAGGAGAGGTGAAGGGATAGAAGAATAAATAAATTTTACACAAGTAGATGCCACGTGTATATATATATATATATATATATATATATATATATAAGTAAATTTCAGTATAGTTTTCTTAAGACTGAATATTTATATCTAAATTTCAATAGTTTTTGGCGATCCTTGCATTTCCTTACTATTTTAGCTCTGCAAGGTAGCATGCACAAGAATTGCTTGGAAAGCAAATTAATAGATTGCTAAGTCCCACTGCAAATTCTTAAATTTGCCTTTCAAATGAGCTTGCAGGTAATTCTGCTGGTTGTGACTTTGAGTAGCAGCAATTAAGGCAGATATTCTCACCTACCACTCTATCAGAATTACTGGAGAGCTTTTGAAATATTCCGATTTGCGTAACTCCTCTGACATCTACAGAATGAGAGTTTCTGAGGTCAGTCAAAAAATGTGAATTTTAAGGAAGTTCCTCAGTCACACGAACAGCCCAGACCTGAGAGTAGCCTGCGCTGGTGCTGTCTGCCATGAGGACGGCACTCACTTCTGCAGAATCTGATCCACAGCTACCCCTCCCAGGAACTGCGGTCTAGTCTTACTTTAAGTGATTGAAACTTACATTTAAATTGCCACTTGGGGCTCGTGGCCACTGTGTTAGACAGAGAAGGCCTAGACCTTCAAGTTTTCCTTCTTGAATCAACAGTTTTCTTCCATGGCAGCAGGAAAGGAGACCAGAGTACCGGGTTCCACACCTGTTGGTTTCCTCGGACTTTTCATTCCATTCTGATTGCAGTGAGCTGCCATCCACACCCATCCTGGGACATCCCTGACCTGTGGAAGAAGGTAAGATGCTTTGATATATTTTCAAATGAACAACGCATACTTGGACTGATGGGGTCATTGTTTACCTCCCAAACAATTATAGTTTGAGTCTGTATTAATGCCACCCTCTCAAGAGATCCTCCATGTACAGTACTCATCAACTCACTATCTCATTAATTTGCTCAGAGACTTGTGAGTAGAAAAAAGGACTGGGATTATTGTCCCATTTCCCTGGTAGAAAAACTGACTTTTAAAGAAGAGAGTGGCTTGCTGAAACTTCCCCAAGTGACTCCTGATGGGATGCTATTTTTCCAAGTACTGCTGTTCTCTGTATGTCACTGTGATTCCTGCAGTGAAGGACACCACAGCCATCCTTTGAAAAGCAGTTTGCTTCCTTTGGCACCTAAGTACGTATGAGGCTGGAACTTGAGCCCTAGATGAAATAGAACAAGGCCAAACTGGACTCAAACAGCCTACAATTATAGAGCAGCTTATACTTCTGGGCTTCCAAAGACTCCATGGCACAGACCACAGGCTGCAACATAAATTAATTAGGAGAGGTGTCCAAGCTAATTATATAAATCACAGTAAGGGGAGGAGGACTATTGCAAGTGGATTAAGAAGTGGGAAATTGGAGAGGCATAATAAGAATCCTTCTCCAAATGACAAATCTCAGGTCCTCCCCAGGTAATTCAGTTTTATAGCAAGATATATGCCTGGGGCACTATCTTCAACTAGATTGAGACAAGACCATAGGCCATCTGGAAGTCAAGCCATAAATTAGTAATTACCTACAAGTAGCCCAAGGAGACTCTAAAATGCTGTCAAAGTCCAAAATCTGCAGAGCCAGCTATAACTTTTCTTGGCTTTACACAAGTGATCTGAGTTACCTGCACCAAGCTGAGAGCTAAGGAAGGCAAACATCTCCAGGAGTGTTTCCTGTGTTAGCAGTAGGAAAGACTACTCTGGCCCCACAGTTTTCTTCAAGCCAGAGCTGCTTCTCCATGAAGGGAGGGCAAGGGGATTCTGGTGGGTATTGGGGGGAGGCTACAGAGAAGGGCCAGGGCCAGGGAGCGGAGAGTGGGGTTGGAATAGCGCACCCTGTGTCTAAGGCAGAGTCAGCCTTCAGGAGAGAGGCCCTGGGTAGACCTGATTCACTTAATAGACTTTAAGTGCCCGAGGACAGGGAACAAACTTGTATCACATTATCAGACCCGCCCGCTCAGCATCAGTGGTGAAGGAGGTTCATGAATATGTAAATACTATATGTATCTTGGAAACATGCTTGACAAGAGAATAGCTAAAATGAACTGATTCTAGTTATAAGCCCATCAGCCTGCCATTCTTCATGTTTGAACAGGCAGGCTATTGCTAGGTGACAGATCATTAAGGCCATCTACTCAGTCAGCGGAAATGAAGAAATAATTTGTTCTAATAACCTTCAGATGACCTCCCAGGCAAAAGGGAGTCTTTAAAGTGCTGTCTCTGCCAATACATGTCAGGCAGGCGGGTGGGGCGCTCTGGCCCCGCAGTCAGAGCAGAACCGCTGGTGAAACAGATTAATAAACACCTCCTGACAGGGACAGATCAGGGAAGGATCTCATCACCTGCCGGGATGGGCTGATGAATAATTCAGAGCTCTCCATCAGAGCAGGAGCTGGGCTGCCTCTGCCCCAGAAGGGAGGGGGAGCCAGAGGTGCTGATTGCCAGGATTGAATGGAGGCCCCAGGGACAAGTGTCTGCTCCAGACTGTGAGGCATCAGGCCAGGCTGGGGAGCAGCTGACAGACAGCTCCTGGGGTGAGCCTGAGAGCCTAGGTCTGCAAGGGGCCAGCAGGGCCTCCTCCTCAAAGACTCCTGACAAGCTGAGGCCTGGCCTGGGCCTCGGGAGCAGGCTTCTCCTGTGCCATTGCTCTCAAACTCCCTGCTTCTTTGCATTGCTGGTGGGTTCCAGGTGAATGGGCCAGTCTCCCAGGACGTCCCTCCCTCCTTGGGTCCTTAATCACTGTGGAACAGTTCTAGGGCATGTGGACCTCTGTGAGGAGGACAGGGCAGTGTCCAACTACCAGCTATGTGACCCTGACCGTGCTGTGGAACTTCAGTGAGACGCAGGTTCCCCAACTCTAAAATAGGCTCCATCATAACTGATTCACAAAGTAATCATGAGAATTAAAAAACAAATCCATGGAGGTGTCTTAGCAGAGGGTCTAGTACCAAGCAGTCCCCACTTCATGATGGGAGCAATTGTCTGCCTCTACCTACCTATCTGTCTTTTGACCAGCAGTGGCACTGGAAATAGACTGTATATGCAATTTGGTAATTCAAGGAGAGTTAGAGGCACTTCTGTGGGTGCTGCATGGTTCAGCAAAGCAGAGAATGACAGCGACATGGCCCAGGAATGACACAGAACAGACGCCTCAACCTTTCTAGGTCTCAGGGGACAGAGGAAATTGAGAGATTTTCTGCCCGACAAAAGCCCAGCACAGTGACAGCCAGCCACGGTGACCAGGCAGAACAGCTCACAGGACGTGTGTGCCCTCCACGCTGTGGCCAAGGTTTTCTCCTGGCTGAACTCACTGGATGCCCGCAAGAGGTCCGTTAATGGCTCTGTAAAGATAAGGCTCTCAAGGCACAGAGCAAGATGCAGAGAGCTGGGAACTGCATCTACCGGGACAAAAAGGGGAGACCTGGCCCATCATCAGACTTGATGCATGCATTAGAAGGGTGGAGGGAAGAGCAGGAGGGAGAGAAAGAAGAGGGAGAATTTGAATAGTAGAATGGAAAAAATATTGAGTTTAGAATTAAAGAAACATGCCATCACTTAAACCACCATTTATCCTTTAATAAGCCAGCTCTCCACCTTCTGGTCCCATCATCCATAAAACCAAAAGCTCTGAATTACCTGAATCCAGACCTTCCTGAGCCTGGACTCCATGGCTTCAAGCCTGCTCACAGGGTCATTCTGTCAGTGCCGTTCCCTGCAGGCACCTGCAGTGGGTAGTTGCACTGAAGAAAAAGACTGCCGTTTGTGGATATCAGTGTCACACAAAATTTCTCCCCAGCTTCAAAGTTAGAGTTTCACGTAAATGGCTTAGAACAGGTGTAAAAGGAAAACCTAACCATTCCATGCGTTCAACCAAATTTGAGCCTTTCTGGGCTGGAGCCTTTTGACTTCGCTCAAAATGAAAGAGAGAAAGATGATGTTCCTTCCTAGAGTTGGACTTGGAGAATCCTGTGGCCAGAAAGTTTCAAACGCTGTAGATATTCTTGAGAGTCAGTTTTTATGGAACATCATTGTAAAGAATCTTGTCAAGTGGCTTAAAGATGAAGTCCCTTTTCAGAACAGTTACAAAAGAGAAAGGAAAGTGAGTAGCATTTAGTAATCAGAGAACGGAGCCATAGGAGGGAGGAGCAGGGTTACACTGGAAACAGACGGAGTGCAGCCTGTCAGGATGCTGGGTCAGATGCAGAGGGAAGTTTGCATTCGAAGTTTGGCCCATACAGCTCATTCTGTCTTCTCGGTACTCCAGGTGACTTTGGTCCTACTGTACTTTGTATAGCACTTTATTATAAGGAATACTGTGTGCTAGAGAAAGATGAATACCATCATTTCTCAAATTGACCAAAAGAGTAATTGTTCAGTCATTTTATTCCAGAATAAATATGAAATTTATTTATTCATTAATTCATTCATATGTATTTTCATGAAGTATTTATTGTGAACCTATTGAGTTCTAAGAAGTCTTCTAGAAATATATTCATGGCCCAAATAGATACACACAAAGGTCAGAGAAATCTTTGAGTCATAAATGATTAAGAAGAGCCAGACACTACAGGATCTGCAGAGAGTATCCCAGGCAGCCCAAGAGATGAGGGCGAAGTCTGGAAGAGGCCTCAGTGTGTCCTATGCAGGGGGCAGGAGGAGGGCCACATGGCCAGACAATGGTAGACCAGAGGGCAAAGCGTGAGGCTGCAGAGGAAGAAAGAGAGCAGATGACAGGCCCAGTGCATCTGGCCATGTTAGGGTGCAGTTAGACCACAGCGAGACCCCTGGACATACGCATCATCATGTTTCTTACTCTATATATTTGGGGCTTTTCTTACAGTTGTGATAGGGAAAGGTCTAAAAGGCCATGTTTTGCTATGCATTCTCCTTAGGCTCCATGAATACAAAAGGCTTCAAAAAGGGGCGGATGGATTAAATAACCAAAGGAAGTGCCCAGCTGGATGGACCCTTGTTTAGGAATGGGCAGGGGTCCCCAGCACTGGATCTCAGTTCTCACAGCTTTTGACTTCTCTGTGGTCCATTTTTAGCCTTGGGTTGGAATTTGGAGAGAACAGTAGAATATGTTCTCTGGGCCTTTTCTTTTTCTCATGAGTTAATTTCCTGTACATCCAAGGGTATGATTTCTCATGTATATATAGAACAGGAGAGGATTAGGCTTAGGCATCCAGCTGAGTATGGATGTATGTACACTTTTTGAACAATTTCACCAATTGTTTTTGTTCTTTTTTGGGACTAGGCAACTTTCTTTGTGTTGTGTATTATCTGAAAGTGTTCAGTCTTTTCAGAATTAATTTTGTCTCTGGGTTTACTATTTTTTCAAGTATAGGGTAAGGATAATCAACAATCGTAACTTTCCTCTTTTAAGCAAGACAGTTGAGGTCATTAAATAGGACTGACAAGGGATAAACAGGAAAATATAGCCAAAGAAAGCATGGAGGCAAATGAAGAACAAGGGGGTGATTTTTAAAGAACTGCAAGTGAGAAAGACGTGTTTCTTACTTCTTCTTTCCTTCTTTAGTGTCAAAATTATGCCATGCAAGAAAATGACAGTTTCTGATGCCCAAAGGATGAAGATGTTTGATACAAAAGAAAGTGATACTGTGTACATGCACAGGAAAGGAAATCCTGGTTAGTCTCGTGGCAAACTCTGCTTTCCTGGAAAAGTTCTCATTTGTATTTCTTACTCTGGGATAATTAATAACAATGTCTCCCTTTATCTTCAA